AGGTAGTAATAAGGCTGGTTGTGTTAGTCTGCTTCCTTCCTTTTTGTTTTACTTTTCTTTTTGTGTGTGCTACATGCACATGTGTGGGCACATGCATGTGTGTGGGTATATGTACATGTGTAGGCATAGGCACCTGTGTGGAAACATGCATGTATAAGGCTACATGCATGTGGAAGTCAGAGGACAATCTCTGGTGTCATTCCTCTGGCACAGTACACAATTTTGGTAAAGACAGGGCCCACACAGGCCTGTGATACACACGAAGTAGGCTGGTCTGGCTGTCCAGTGAGTCTTGGGGATCTCAGGGACCAATCTCTCTCCACCTCCCGGTGCTGGAATACAAGTGCCTGTCATCACACCTGCTTTTTCCCTGTGGGTTCTTGGGATCAAACTCAGGTCTTTGTTTGCAAGGCAAGTCTTTCACCCACGGATCTTTCTCCTCAGTTTGTGTTTATTACTATCACAAAATGCTTGATGCTGGAAAGTTTATAAAGTAAAGGTGCCTACTCAGTTCACAGTCTGACAGCCGGATAATCTAAATATCATGAAAGTGCTGACTAGTTAGGGTTTTCCTGGCTGAATCACAATCTTCTCTATCACAGTGTCAGAGAAGCCATTGCCATGTGCAGAAGGGAACACATGGCAAGAGAGGAAGCCAGAGAGGTTCTGGGCCAGACTGGCTCTTCCAGGAACTGGGTAGGACCCCACAAGACTGAATGATCTCTTTTAAGGGTGATGTCCTCCAGGACCTGGTCACTTCCCAGTAGACCTCACCTCTTAAAGGTTTCCCCATCTTCATATGGCCACACTGGGGATTTTTGTAGGACAAACATATCCAAATGATAGAACATAGAAAATACTGAGAGCAATAACAGACATTGAAAAGTAACTAGCTGAGTGTGGGCCACAAGTTAATCTAATATGGAGAATACAAGTATGTGTGTGAGTAAAACATCAGGGCCTAAGACTGTCAAAATATGGCCTCTTTTTCCCTGGCAGTCTACACGCTACATACCTCTGTGTGTTACCAGGATTGATTGATTGTAGCTCCTTACAAGGGAGAGAGGATATGAGTTGCCTCATCTCTGGTAAGGGATCTAAGAAGAGCTGTTCACAGAGTGTTGGTAAGCCTTTGTGGGAGCAGTGTGAGCAGGAGCCTGGACTCCAGATGTGAAATAAGGATTAAGTCAATGATCCAGAGCTGATCTATCAACAGACTGTTACAATACTATGTGTACCCCTCTTTCATTGTCTTGTATTTCCTTGCAGCTGTGTTTGAACTTGAAGATGACATCAAAAGTTCATTTGATCCTCCTGACTTGGTTGTTAACCCAGCAGGTAAGATTCTCAACCCATGATGTGTTGGTCCTGCTTTCCCACATCTTTGTGATATTACAGTTTCCAGGGTTGAGTATAGTAGAGGCATGGATCTTGAAGAAGTAGTGTATATATAATATCAGTAGGGGGAAGGTTGTGTGATTGTGAGCAATGTACACTGGTATATGAATATTAAAATTTCATGATAGACCTGTTATTTTGTATGCTGATTAAAAATTTGATTGAATAAAGAAGAAAACTCTAGTATCCATAAACACAAAGAATCAGACACCTCAGCCTTGCCTTTCTTCACCCCATATAACATAATGAGATTGTGTCCATGCATGTGCCACGTGTGAGGATGTAATATGTGACATCTCATACTGTCAGCTCCAGACAGCACCCAGCGTATTTTAGTAACTTAGTAAACTTGGTGAGTAAATAGAACCCACTTCTCTCTTTCAGGTGACAGGCCTGACTGAGACTTCCGACCTGGACATGGCTCCCAATGCATTTGATGATCAGTATGAGGGCTGTGTTGAAGACATGGAGAGAAAAGCACCCCAGCTGTTACAAGAAGACTTCAACATGAGTAAGAAATTAAAACCTGAGTGGGAACAGGCAGAGAAACGATGGAAGGAGATAAAAAATACAATGAGGACTCCCAAAGGTTTCCATGACTTCCACGGAACGGCTGTAGTGGCCTACACCGGGAAAATCCATGAAGATTTTAACAGAGCAGTTAGAGAATTCAAGAAAAATACCACTAACTTCCAATACAAGGCCTTCCATTACTACATAACAAGAGCCCTTCAGCTTCTGAGTAACCAGAGTTGTTACTCAGTTTACAGAGGCACCAGGAACAAGTTTCGTTACAGTGGGGAGGGCTCTGTGCGGTTTGGGCATTTCGCTTCCTCATCTTTGAATGAGAGAGTAGCTCTTTACAGCTTTGGTGGTGTTAGTGGGACACTGTTTACCATCAAAACCTGCTTGGGGGTTTATATAAAAGCATTTTCCTACTATCCCAATGAAGAGGAGGTGTTAATTCCAGGCGATGAAGTATATCCCAAAGTCACCAAAACAGCAAGTGGAAAAAGGAATGACAAAATTGTTCTGCTCTCCCCTGAAAGAGGGAAGAGCAACTTCAATTGCTTCTACAGCGGTTCTACCAACAAGAGCCATTTCAGCAGCTCAGGTGAGTCTGGGTCTGTGTTAGAGGTGGAGCTGGTGGGGACATCATGAAATGGAGGAGGGGGTGCTCCCTACCAGAAGACACCCAGTAGACCTGCACATGGCGAGGATGCCTAGAATGATGAAGGGTAGCTTTGGTAAAGCCAAGGAGCACACACCTCAGTGCAGGTGTATAAGAAATGACTGAACATAGTGAGGGACTTCAGGAAAATGCTATTACCAGGCCCAGCCCTATAAGGAGTGAGAAGTTCCATCAGGGGTTATTTATCCTTTCAAACCAAATCTTCCATGTGTTTGGAGTTCTCTGTGGCTGTATACCCATCATTCCTTGTGGCCTGGGTTCTCTCTTCATCATTTCACCACATGTCTCATTCTATGCAAGCAAAGACATCATCGATTTTAGTTTGGTGAATACCTTTCAAGACA